TCAACGCATGTGCGACTGATAAAGCTCCTAGTCGAGCAAGTGTCATAATAGGCCACGGCCTTGAGGCCGCCAATGACAACCTCGCTGACGAACATCTCACCCTTTGGGGCTTTGACTAGGGYCGTCCAAGAAGCTAGCGGGTCTGATCTGAACCACTCCTCCTCTAGCTCCTCTMAGGACACAAACACATTCATTGAATAGAGGCTCGATGGGTCTGAACGTGTTTGCGAGACGGCGCTGGAGTCAGTAGCTTGGGCCATCTCTCGAGATGGTGAGGGTGTATCCACCACCTCGACCCTAGCASGAACARCTACTATTCCTACTGGCCCGACGTGTTTCCCGRAGCACTGCCAGAAGTACTAGCTACGTTGCTACCAACGTGATGGGAGGATCCCAAAACCTGCCCCATCGTAGGCGGGATCTTATCGGTCACCTTCTTGTTGCGGCACTTGAATWGGTTATGGYCATATTGGCCAAAACGAATACAGGTCTGCCGTGAATATCGATCTCTCCACGYGTCCTCTGTGAGACCCGCTTGCTCCCATGGAGGAGCATTGGGGTCAACTTRACTCCTAGACCGGGAACCTCCACSGCGTCTACCGGTCGCCTTACTTTTCTGAGCTACGACAGCRACTAATCCACCCTCTGAAGCTTCTACRCTGCCTGCCTCTGAACCTACTYCTTCCTGGAAGTTGTCGTCTAATACGATRGTTGAACCATCGTTATCGACAAAGATRATGCGACCCTTCGCCTTCCAGTTAGGAGGYAGTGTCTTCTTCCTACCGTCCGTTGTGGGATTATGTCCATGCCCTATCTTCGCTTCAAGGTCTAGGGSCTTCTTGCTRAAYGAGGGGAAGTTGTGAACGTTGATGTTGGCCTCACCTGCCAACTGATTCCTGAGAGGCATTGGAAAGCATCTCAAGTAGGGGGTGATTAAAACCTGGGGGTCATAGCGCACCCCAGGGACACAGATCAGACGCTCTACAACGTCGGTGGCCTCCCTTATTGACTTAAACTGCCTCGTGTGCAGTGTCAAGATCGCATCAGTGGCCATTTGGGCGTCCTGAGGATCATGCCACCTTTCTTCCACCATCTTGAGGAAGTCCTCCTGTTTCTGGTGGGCTGCCCAAGCGCGGAAGTCATGACTGTACCCATGTAGTTGCACTAAAACGCTCAACCATCGTGCTGCACTACCCTCTAGATAGGATGCAGCCACAAGCACTTCCTCGTGCGACAAGGTAAGCTTAAACTTGAAATAGACTAGCACTGCCCTCAACCACGTGTCGAGGTCTTCGCCCCTCTTATCCCTTGTGAAGGGTTTGGGAGCGGCGATAGCCATCTTTGGTACCCACTGTATTTGTCCCGTTCCCTGCATCACTCCGGGCTGTGGACCCTGTGACAAAGGCTGTTGTGCTAGCTGTTGGGGCTGTGTACCCTGCAGCTGTACAGGCTGCGTTGTGACCTCAACCTGCAACGGAGATTGAGTGAACACTGTTTGTACAGGAACCTGTAAACTAGATCCTGCTGATAACCTTCCTGACAATGGCATGCCCAGGGAAACGATCGCGACCGATGATGGGGCTACATATGGGGATACCCCAGTCACYGGTGGGACAAAGGAGGAGGCTGTACGACAGGCCTGGCACCAGAGTCGGACATCGGTGACGTTGCCTGCGCTCGCCCAGCCAACAGGGCCAGACTTTGTGGAATGTCATGAAGGATGGTTGTCTGATGGTCCTGCATCTCAACTACATTTAGCAGGACGGACCGTATGATCGTCACATCATCAGTCACGTGCGTCAGGTCCATCACCTCTAACTCACTAACGTCCGCTTGTCTCCACTGCATCCTGGCTCTTCTTCTGATCATCCTTTCCTTCTCCGCTTTTATCTCTCCTAATGCCTTTTGTAGTTGTGCCTCCTGCAATGCTGCTTGTTGTATGGCGATCTCGTCGGATGTCAACCCTATTGGTTGGCTTGCCACTACACAAGTGGACTGACTCTGGGTCTGTGCGACCGTTGACCCGACAGATCCTGAACTACCGGCCTAAGTAGTCTGCTGCGTAGAAGTGGCCATGGCTTCCGAAGTTGCGGCTTCACTCACAAGTGCCCTGCTAGCCTATGCTGCTCTAGCCCTCCTCTGCTGCTGCAACCTCTCTCTACGCTGGCGGAACAGATATCTGTCACCCTCTCGACCTAGTGCCAAATGGGCCACTGGGCGCCTTGTCGATCGCAAGATTCGGTCTTCCTCTCTAGTGTCCTTCTCGTCGCTCATAAGCTACAGTACTGTACACAATCTGCACTAATGCACGCGGGATGCCTACCGCAGCGTAGTGCACAGACCAATTAATCGGTGGCTATTTCGGAGTAGATATCACTTGGGGTCAACAGGTAAGTCAGATTCCTGCAAACGAGACTATTTTTAGCCTGATTAGCCCGCGAACAGAATGCACAATGAACAAATATAGTTTTAATTATGATGTATGTCAGATGTCAAATGGCTGTACATCTAAGTAATCAAAACATAAAAATAGAATCATTTGTGTGGATAGGACASTATGGATTTTTTTCTCAAACTTATCACCTGAAATYTACCCTCCCTTAGTTCCCCTGAATGTCCCTTGACGTCAGCGTCCCTGAGCAATCCGGAGAGCATTGTGTGTCTAAAAGGAGTGTGTCCAGCCCACCCTTGTGCCCCGAGTATCTGCTGAGCTGGCCAGCCCCGCATTGGATAATCCTAGCGTGCAGCCAGCCTTACAACCATTGACTGATCTAGAGGCAATTTAACGACCGCCCCCAGGTGTCTCCAGGAATTATTTTACGTCGCARCCGGACGACGATCACAACCAATAATTCCCCCTTCCGGTGCTTATTTAAAGACGCCCAGTCTCATCTCCCTCTTAGGGTTGGCCTGCCCTTCAGTACCCATCTAACAGCGCAGCAAGCCGAACAAAGGACAAGCAGCAAAGCATGCGTGCTCTACTCCCGGTGGGTTGGCATGGTGACCGTGACCCAGTGCTTCGTCTAGGGCCCTTCAGAAAGCTCCGCTCATCTTCTCCCAGATGTTGTACGTGAACATTGCCGACTCTCAAGGTTGAGCGCACTCGACACCTGACAATGAGAGGACTCTCAARAAGGAACACACAACATTACGGTAMGAAGTGTCGAAGAGGGTCGATAAGGTTAAGAGCAACGTACCTCAAATAGTTGCCCCCAACCACAAAGATAATCTCACCAGATGCCCTGATGYYGATTGTGATGACCAGTCATTGCTTCGGCACAACCAGCATTGCACGCCGTTCCACCTCAACACCAATCGCACATTAGATAGTTCTCATCACACTGTCCAGACCAACATACACCACGTAGCCTCTCGTGATCCCCTCACCTCCTGGGTTGCGAATCACTCGTCTCCGCCCTCCTCACTGCACACCGCTTACGACCCAACTCACCAAGCAGACCGGATGCATGTACCACATAAGGCAGAAGACAAGCGCAAGATGAGCGCAATCGTACCACAACTCCAATACCAAATTGCAAGGACGATGAGCAATAGCGAACTTCAGCAATCAAACAACATCATATACACAAGACCAGATAGTCGTGACCTCGAACCAACAACAAAATTGCATCACGAGTTTCACCAAATAAGAAGACACCAAGAGCTCATAATTGACAATGTTGGTAAAGTCTCATCATCATCATCAATGAAGAACAAATGTTGATATCCTATCTGGCGCTCGGCGCCCAGACTACAGATGGCAGATC